GAAAAAAGTAATAAAAGCCCACGGTTATATAAGCATTAGACCAAAGCTGGGACTCCTCCCGGGGGGTCTGACTTTTCTTCCTCTCTGCCTCCCTAGTCCTAGTGTGGTGCCTTGTGCATAGTCGAAGATTAGCTCCCTGACAGCAGACTAGCCCACGACGGACTAAAAACCAACTGGCCGAACGAATAAATAAATGATTCCTCCATACAGCATGCAGGAAATGTTCAATCGACCACCCGGTCCAGGCCCCGTGGAAGGTTCCAGGACTAGAATGAAAAACTCCCCCTGCCCCGGGAGAGCTCCCAGCCCATTTGGGGTGCTGAGCCCTGACCAGCAATGGCATGCAATCTGATGCAGTAGCAGGTTAGTGGAAAGAGTGGGAAGGGCTGGGAGACCCCAGAGGGAGAGACAGAGTGAAGGAGCAGAGGCAGTTTGGGAAGATTTCACAGGGCAAGTGGCATTTTGGGCTGCGTCTTCAAGGGTGAAGAGATGTTTGTCAGGCGGAGGATTGGGGAAACCACATTCCGCAAGGGGTGGTGGGTGTGAGGGATGGAGAGCTGCTTTTGGATGACATGCGGCTTCATGTGGGACGGAGCGGATCGTGGGACGGGGCGGTCGGCTTGGAGTGAGGGTGGGAAAAGTCTAGGATGCCGACTGAGGGGACCTTGACCTTATTTGGACCCAACGGCGAGTCTCTGAAGGATTTCCAGTGTGTGAATGACATGGTGAAGGGATTCTTGTAAGCGGATGGTGGGTGGGCTGGAGGAGAGGGGGACTCATGGTAGAGTGGGAGTAGGTGCGGGGAGGGCAAGGGGGAAGGAGGCGGTGGGGGTGAAAGGGCGGAAGTTCTGGTCAAGTTAGTGACCTTCGCTGGGCATCCTCAACTTTCCCATCAAATAATTTCCCAACAAATAATTTCCCAACAAATATTTCCAACAACAAATATTTCCAAATATTTCCAAGTATTTTCCAAAAATTTCCAAATACTTCCCAACAAATAATTTCCACCTCGTGGCTTGTGTTGACGCTTGGCGAGAAATTGCATGCAAAAACTTTTGTCTAGATGGCCCGGCACAGAGTAGTAAGCACTTAGTAAATTATTGGTTGGTTATGGTTTACTTGGGGGGAGAGAGAGATGACAGGCGCCCTGGCTGAGGCAGCAGGCAGCGGATGAGGAGGAGGAGGGAGAAGTCAGAGACCGGGGGAGGTAGACCAGAATGCTGAGTCGTGGTGCCTTGCCCTCGAGCGGAAAGGCAGTTTTATGCTGAGGCTTGCTTCAGCAGAGTCCCGGCCTCATTATAAACTTTAGATGAGGCCCCAGGGAGCTTGACCTTGGGCTATCCTGGACTCCGGCAAGCCTGCAAAACGAAGTTATTTGCCCGCAAGGGAAGCACTTCTCTGGATGAAGGCGGATGCACGGGAACATCTGTTTTGTGGCTCCCGTCCCCGCGGGCTGCGTGGCGATCGCCCTGTGTGCCTGAGCAGGACAGCCACGTGGCCCTCAGTGGGGCAGCAGACGCGGTCAGCCCAGGAGGCTGGGCTGTGGAGGGAGACCCCCCCCCACCCCCCACCGTGGGTATACTCCCGGGGAGATACTGAGGGTGCCCTGAAGGACCCCTGCCCGCTCTCTTCCTCTTGGTTTGAAGCCTTTGGCTCCCATTGAATGCAAATACCCCAGGGAAAAGTAGTATCATTAAGGGAAGGGATATCAACCGTAACAGAAATGAATAGTAATAAGGGTAACAACTCGGAGAACTGTTTTGTGCCATAGGTACCTTTTGCTCATTGCCTCATTTCATTGTTCTGGCGGTCCTAGCAGGTGAATGTTTGTATCTCTGGGCACATGGGAGCCCGGGGAAGTTCAGAAGGTCGAGGAAAAAGCACAGCATACATCTTTGCGAGCCCTGCGACAGAGCGGGAACAGTGCGAGGGAACGAAGGGCAGGTGTTGGGCGTGGGATGCGGTGGGCATCGCGGCAGGAGAGAGAGAAGGAGGAGGTGCAAAGGGGAGAAGGAGAGGTGCGGTTGTGGCCAGGACTGGCCCTGCTTACCTCATAATCACCGACCTGGTAGATTTGCTTTTTGTCCCCGACTCTGTCAGTGCTTCTCCTCGTTCGGAGGCTCAGAGATAATCATGGAACTCCCAAGACAGGTTGGGGTAGAGTCAAGGACTCCACATGGGACCGCCTACGAGATGCAGTTTTATCCAGGTTTATCCAGCCATGGTTAGACAGGGCCACCCAGATCCCTCCCGACCAGGCCTGGGGACTCACAGTCTCTGCGTCCCCCGTGCAAGGCACAGAGTATGACTAACAGTAGGCGCTCAGTAGATGCTCCCTGCAGGAATGCTACCCAGGGTGTCCCCAGGCTTGCTCTCCTTAGAGCCCTGCTGACCCCTCTGGATGCTCTCCCAGTTTCCAATGGCAAAGGAATTAATTACAAGGCTCTGCTTGTGAATTCAGGAGGGACCAGAGGAAGATCAAATACAATGGAGTTTCACTGTTCATTGATGGCTGCTTACCCAGCTCCTCTGGACCATTTAAAATTTGAATCCTGGGGCGCCTGGGTGGCGCAGTCGGTTAAGCGTCCGACTTCAGCCAGGTCACGATCTCGCGGTCCGTGAGTTCGAGCCCCGCGTCGGGCCCTGGGCTGATGGCTCGGAGCCTGGAGCCTGTTTCCGATTCTGTGTCTCCCTCTCTCTCTGCCCCTCCCCCGTTCATGCTCTGTCTCTCTCTGTCCCAAAAATAAATAAGCGTTGAAAAAAAATTAAAAAAAAAAATTTGAATCCTAAATTCTAAATTTCCAATCAGGCCGTGGACTGGAAGGATGGAGGTGGAAAAGGAATCTGGCTTGCTCTTGAAGGTCCTGGTGACACAAGTCCTAGACACGGGGTCCAAGTGGCTTGATGGTCTCCCGGACCAGTGTGATCCAATGAGTACTAAGCGTAAAATAGAAAGTCACACTGGCAGCTCCGGAATGGAATGGGAGAAAGCACCAGAAGTGAGCAGATCCTGGTTTTGCCACTAGCTGTATGACCTTGGACGTCATGTTCTTTCTTTGGGCTTCCTATTTGCTCATCTGTAAAACTGGGACATTGGGTTGGATGAGTGGTTTTCAAGCTGCCATCGAGAAGTAGGAAGAGTTCTGAGGTCCTCTGGGGTGGGTCTGCTTGGATCTGTTTACCATACTAAGGACTCCACATGGGACCGCCTACGAGATTTAGTTTTATCCAGGTTTATCCAGCCATGGTTAGACAGGGCCACCCAGACCCTATCAACCGACAGAAGAGGGCTAGTGCCCAACGCTTCAAGGGGCCCATTCGATGCGAGTCTCTGTACTTGTAAAAGCTCTTTGCAAAAGGAATAATCCCTAACTGGATACCAAAAAATTTGAGCTATAGATCACTAGATAGAGAGTACCATTGGAAGGACACCACAAAGTTGAAGTATCCCCAGACTCTTCCTACTCCTGCTTTTCAAGCTGTGCTGCCTTGGGGTTAAGACTTGTGGCTCTGGGGAACTCCCAGTAAAATGCAAATATGTATGTGGCTTTCCTCCCAGAATTACTAGCACCAGGGATGGCCTCTGAGACACGAATTCATAGACATCTTTAGTCTTAAACTTTCACTCCTCCATCCCACCACTTCCAACATTACCTCTTCCCTTGTAAAATTTCCATATGAAAGCCTGGCTGCTGACATTTGAAAAACGTTTATCCATTTGTCCCAGTCTCCGTGAAGTCAGGGCAAATTTCGGAAGAGGTTTTGTTTTCAGGAATATCAAAGAAGGAGACGAGGTGTTACGTCAGAGGCAGCCCAGCCTTCTTGCAACATTCGCCAGGCCGGCCTGGAGGTGAGGTCAGGCTTAGGTACACTTGAACCTTTTTCGTTCTTACTCCAGCAAGCCCAGTTCGTTAAGTATGCGTTGGGCGACGTGAGAAGCTGGAGAATGTTTGGTATGATGTATGGAATAAGAAAGAAGTTGCTTCTAGTAAAGGATCTGATGTGGGATGATTGCCCACTTCCATTCCAGTTTCCGGGGACCTGATCCATACACCTTGTATGTTTCAGGTGAAGCCTGGAGTAGCCCCTGGGGGCAGGGAGACACTTGGCTGAGGTTCCGAGTTTGACACTCGATTGCTGGCTTTGCTGGAGTGAGACTTCTAAAGGCTATGAAAAGAAGTTTAAGTTTGGGTATGTTATGAACAACACATGGCCCCAGCTTTAAGTTCAAGGCCTATTATTTGGGGCCACGCTCTTGCAAAGATGCTTTGAAGTAAGACAAATATTTAAGGCAAGCTAGAGATACCTTTGGGGGACGTGTTGGAATTTTTGTAGGGTTTCACCTTCAGGTTTCTTAAGAGACAGTAGTTCGAAGTGAAGTATATTCACATGGTTAAAGACTGGGAGAAAATTGACCAAGTGCAGTGGTTTGTTTCGAGATGTAGAAATCACGGGTGAGCTTGTGTTCTTTATTTGCTAAGCTTTATATCATATGGATATATTGTTCTGTAATGAAAAACAAGTATTGTAAACCTTTTTGCAGGTATATAACGTGCCTGGAATGCCAGTGACTGTATCTGCAATCTTTATTCCAACTCTTGGACCTGTTACATTCTGGCTTTTGTTTTTACTGCATTGAAACGGACTCACCCATGCTCTGCAAAACAAAGAGAACTTTTTCGTCTCCGCTGTCTTTGACTGTGTGGACTGCTTTCTTCCTGAACTTCTCTTTCTGTTCGACATCCAAGGTCATCACTATTTGCTGGGCCTTCCCCGCCTTATCTTTTTTCATGGAGGCCTCTTCACTCACCCCCTTAAACGTGTTTCTCTCCTCGCTCTGTACCCACGTAGTGAGCGACCTCACCAAGAGCCAGCTTTGGCTTCCACGGGTGAGCACCGATTTCCCCTCTGATGTTCCAGTCCCACCGAGCGCTCTGTGGGACAGCTCCACAAGCTGTACACATACGTTGGAAGTTCATTATTTTAAATCCCTGGCCAAACATGCACCTGCTCTGGTGTTTCTTATCTCCTTACCTGGCATAGCAGCCTCTTCATGATCCTTTCCAGGCTGGCTCCTTCACTAACTTGTACTTCCTTCTTTTCCCACGGGCCCAGTCACAACCTCCTGGAGCTTCCGTCTGTCTAAACTCTCCCGGACCCACCACCCCATCTCCATCCTCATCGATGGCCTTGGATTAGTTCTCCATTGCTTCTTGCTGGGTTACTATAAACATTCTTCCTGCCGTCGGTGGCGTCTGTCCTCCAGGGCATCTTCATACTGCTGATTGAGTCATCTTTCTCAGAGTTCGTTTCCACGCTGACCATGTCGCTGTGCCTAAAAACCCGCTAGTGGATTTCGCAGTATGTGCGCCTTGATAAGGCCTTTCAAGGTCTGACTTTTGCTTGTCTCTGCAGCCTCTTATCTCGTCACTTGGTCCCATACATCCTTTGCTCCAATGATACTACCCAGCCAAGACCCCAGCTTCCAGTGGTTTTTTTTTGTTTTTTGTTTTTTTTTTGCCTCTTTTTGTCCTAACTTGCTGTCCTGTGTTTGAGCTTTCCCAGATCTTCTTGAGGTCACCGTGTTTAAGATCCTCAATTTTAACAATAGGAAACGTGTGCCATTTATATTTAATGAAACTTTCATTTCCTTCAGGAAAATGCCCACGTTAATCACATAAATGAATGAGAACACACACACAAGAATGAATGGGAAAATATGTTTTATGTTATAAAAACATGATTTATACTCAACTTTCTGACCACAATCATAGAGTAAGGCAAAGCGCATGGCTCTAAAGAAAGGAAAGAACTTTACTCATCCATGTTAATATTGAAAAATTCAGTAGCTTGAGAATATTTTGCTCTTTATAAAGTCAGCAGTAACCATTCTTATGCTTTCTATGGATGGGGTGATGATGCATCTAATCGGTCAGCACATGAGTGTAACAGAAGTACTGTCCAAGTTGTGGGTCAGATATGACTAATTAAGGAAGACATCAGCAGGATGATTTTCTTGTGGCCTGGCGCACCTTTCTTCAGATGTATGTTCATAGACAAGGCTTGATTAAGAATTAGACTTATTTTTTTTCATTAATCAGAATTTGTTTTTTCTTAAGCTCAATCATTGAAGACAGACAAATCGTTTAAATAGTCTAACATGGCCTCATGTATCATCATTAGAATTAATGTAATGACGTATTACTGGGAACATAACAAATAGTTATCATCCTGCCCTCATAGTTGAGGGGATAGGTGGATTTGGAAAATCTAAAATGTCTCTGACTTGGTTTGTAAATAATTTTGACACATAACGTCATGCTTTTGAGGGGTTAAACTGTGAGAACTAATTTTGGCCCAAACAAAATTAAGGTGAACACTCCATTGTCTTCGTGGATCTCATAAATGGGGGAAAAGAACGTTATTAAAGATTCAATATAGTTTTCTCCTGGTCTCTCAGCGGTGATGGTCATTCAGATTCACTGGAAAGAGTAGTCCCATGCTGAAATAAAAGTGTTGTGTGAACGCGTGGATGATATCCAGTTACGTTCTAGGTCTACTGCTAGGATTAATTTTACATTATTTTGTGCTGGTCGGCGAATTCCTTAACTTCTTCGAGCCCCAGTTTCTTCACCTGTAAAAGGAAAAAAACCCACTAGCAATCATATTGCTGTTATAGGCCCCTGGAGGTGGGGCTGAGGTCACATACCGGAAGCACCTGGCCCAGTGCCCAGCACATGGCAGGCCCTCTCTCGGTCCACCTCCCACCAACGAAGACATGCAAATGTGTGCACAAAACACATGGGCTCAGACACAGAGGGAAAAATGTGGCTTTCATACAGACAGGAAAATTGTCCATATAGACAAATCATAGAGAAAGGAAGCCATACTGAAGAAAAAGAATGGCTCTGGCGGGCAGGTGGAGTCGTTCATAGAAACCACTCAAAGCAAGCAAGACTCCTCATTTTTGGTGATCATCAGCATGTTTCTTTTATATGCCTGTTGGTCGCCGGCCAGTAGGGACATCTTATAAGTGTTTGGATTCAAATGTATAATTCTGGCGCTTCTAATTACTCATTCCCACCTGGCCTAGCAGTGTTTGCAGAGAGAGAGAGCGGGTAAGAATATTTTGTGAACTCGTTTCTCAGAAGGATGACCCCAGAGCTATAATTTGAAGCATTTTTACTGCATGGCGGATGATGCAAGGTTATTTCTTTTTGAAGGGGAAAGGGGGTGGGTGGAGAGCAGACTGAGGCTGAGGGGATCAGGGCCAGGAAAGAGTGAAGATAAAATTAGTACAAATATCTGGCACCATTTTCCAAATTGAGCCGTAACATTTAGACTCTCACATACCCAGATTTCCTCTGAAATCTCAGGTTGCTTTCCTGTTATTGCAGAAGGAAGGTCCCTAAGGTTCCCCAGGGCTGGCTGTGCCTAGAATTAGCTGACAAGGGGGATCAATGAGAGCCAGCTTGAGGCTTCTCACGGACAGCTCTGAGCAATGGTGGGGGCCCAGAGCCAAATTAGGGTGCGGGCAGGGCCTGGGGCTGATCACACCGAGAGTGCCCTCAGATGCTCTTTTCCGGAGCGCACTTGGACGGGAGAGACAGTGGCGTCTGAGCATCGATGTGCGAACCCCAGCTCTGATTGGGTGAACGGTGTCATGCAAATCACATCACCTTTCTGTTTCTCATGTTCCCCATCTGCAGTGAGGCGAGCCCGTGCTTAGCAGCCGGCATTGTTTTGAGGCCCAAAGGACATCATTTATGTGAAGATACTCGGAAAATTAGGTAGCGCAGTACGAGAGGCAAAACACTTCAGGCTAAAATTGACATTCTGGGCTGCTTGAAGGAGAAAGGGGGGTTGGAAATCTCACCAAAGGAACAACAGGGACAAGTGCAGGGGTGAGGCAAGCAGAGGTGACACCGGCTGTGGCTAAGAACTCAGAACTGGGGTCGCATGCTGATGCTGCTTATCTATCTATCAATCATCTATCTGTCCATCTATTATCTATCAATCATCTATTATCTATCTATCTATCTTCTATCTCTCTATTATCTATCTATCTATCTATCTATCTATCTATCTATCATCTATTTATCTATCAGTCATCTATTTATCTATCATTTATGTATGTATGTATGTATGTATCTATCCATCTATCTATTTATCACCTCCTTTTGTCTCAGTTTCCTCGTCTGTAAAACGGGAATTATAAAATATGTATCACCTGGGTTGTTTTGAAGGTGAAACAAACAAAAAATGCACGCAGTGGGCCTGTCACATTGTCATTCCCTAGAGGACACTGGCAGCAGATGAACGGGCCTGGAAACTCTACCAGTTTTGTGCTGCGGGATGGCTACGTGTATGTGAGACGCGCGTCCTTTTTCCCCGTAAGATCTTTCCTGAGTTCTTCGCGCCCTAAATGGTGGCGGGAGGATGGGGGAAACCATGGAAACTGACGGTTTTCTGACTTGTCATATTGTAGGTGTTGTCTCGCCGATAGTACAGAAGTCCCGTGGATGTTAACCCCTTCAGAAGGCGGTTGACGGTATTGATTGCGTAATTTTTTTTAGGGTGGCCTTCTCTGTGAGGTGGTCCGAAAACATTGCTATTCATTTACTCATCCCTTTGTTCAGCCAACCAACTATCACTGAGCACCTAGTATGTGCAGGATGATGAGCTGGGCTGGGAGGTGAGGATATACTGGAGAGCGGGACAAATAAAGTTCCTGCCCTAAAGGAGCATGTGCTCTAGTGGGTAAGACAAAGCAATTACGTACTTAGTCTATCACATGTAGTGACAAGTGTTGGGAGGAAAAAGAAAGTATTAGAAGGTGACAGCGATGTCTTTGGAGGACTCAGGGTAGAGACAGTGGCCACTACTCCCTGTTCTGACCCCCGGAGTTGCCCCTGACTGCCCTCCGTGGCTGTATTCCATCATCCAGGGAACTGCTTGGAGACTTAAGAGGACAGAATGACCCCATATCTACTCTGTCTTTAAGGGGGGGACGGTGACGTTGGGCAGTTATGATCCCGGCATAGCCAGAATAAGGCAGAGGTGACAATCTCCTCCTGCCTGTATCCCTGACCCCTGCTCTGGCCCATTGCTGTGTGTGTGTGTGTGTGTGTGTGTGTGAACATTGGAATGGGGCTGGGGTGGGTTACAGAGACGATGGGTAAGCATCCATAAGGTCTGGCTCAGAACACTTGAAACGCAGACCTCGTTTGGCAGGACTTTCTGTGACGCGGGCATATTATCTTTACAGCTCACGGTTTCCCGGGACATTTGTGCAGATGAAATGGATCAGCGGCAGGAGGAAGATAGCTGTTGCCTAGGCAACCAGCCGATGACTCATCCTGGCTTTGAAGCAGCAAAAGCCATGAGCCTGCAGTAATTTTCCAGATGCTTAACCTGTCCTCCTCCTTCTCTGTCTTTCTTTGTTTTCCTCTCTCCATCCTTCATTTCTTTCTGCACCCTCACTTCCCCGGGTCCTCCCTAAACTTGACACTGAGTGCTGCAGGATCTCTGCAGGGGGTGGGTATAGGGGGTGGTCCTGAGCTCCCCAGAGCAGTTATGTGGACCTCATCCCACCAGTAATAGGTGGCTTTCCCTGCTGCTGCTCCTTATGTCTCATAAGCGGGAAATGGCCAGGCTGTCACCGTCGGTGCTGCAGAGCCCCCAAGATGCTGCTTGTTGCCCTTGATCAGAGAACCTCAAGTGAACCCGGCACTTTTTCTTTGAATCTAAACTAAACGGACCACACCCCTTTATCTCAGAGACCTGCAGTGTTCCTTTGAGGACAGACAGTTATCCTGTGGGCCTCCCAAGCCGAGTTGCGACAGTGAGACAGTGACGTTTACAGGTGACAGAGGCCACCATTGGCAGCCCTCTGGATGCTGGGTTTTCCCATCCTCCTTCGCTGACGTTCCCCACTCCTCATCTTGTGTCTGATGTTCCAGGCCCTTCTTAATTAGCCATCGCAATCGTCTCTACAACGCGGAGTATCGAA